CGATTCCACCACGCCCATACAAAACACACACCAAGGATTACCTGATATGCGTTTTGTAAAATGGTTCTGCTGAGTAGGAATGAAATTACGAGTGAAACGCCAAACTTGCATTTAATCTTTCGTTGACATACATATGTCCATAATTGATTGTAAATGGTTTTAATAGAAATATCCAACTTCGACCTCTCCATTAACAAACTATAGCCACTCCGAACACTGAACACCCCCGATATTTCACCACTCCAAACTAAACAATCCTCTTGAGCGAACCTTGAAATTGGAATACTCAATCATATCAGCTTCCTTCGCATTGAGCAACTCTGTTATCAGATCTTCCTTCCACTGTCTCGTATTCGCATGAATTAAATCTGCCACATATTCAACAGTCATTGTGGCCAGATTATATTCTTCTCGGGAAAACACTCGGGAGCTAATAGTCGTTCCATATAGAGATGAAAGACCCTAAACTTACTTTCCATCGCAAACCTCTCAACAATAGGCCCTTGGAACTCCAAATACTCCGCCAAATATAAGAGGTTGATGATCCAAAATTTGAGTTCATAAAATTACCCGAAGTAAAATACTTTGATCACAGTAGGCGGCCCACAAGTGAAGATGGGTTTGAAAATAGCCTACACCCTTGTTTGGACAAAAAGACAACATTGAATTTATCCATATCCTTAAAGTCGAGTCTACCATTCTCCTTTAGAAAACACAAGTTATCCCTGGAGAACTAATGGATCTCATGTCTACCTTCGGATTTCTGCCACTAAAACTGATCCATGATCCCCTCTATCTCCTTATATAGCTCTTTAGGGAGTAGAAAAACATTCATCGTGTAAAGAGGAGGAGCTTGTGACACGAATTTAATGAACACCTCCTTACCACCTTAGGAGAGAACACAAACATACCGGCCTCTTATCCAACTCCAAAACTTATTAATCAATTGTGAAAATACACCACGTTTATTCCGACCGACTGTTACTGGAAGACCCAAGTATTTCTCCAAGCTAGTTTCATTTGTCACCCCTAAAATACGTCGTACATCCCTCATGTTCTTATCAATAATATTTGAACTGAAAAATAGGCTAGATTCATCAAAGTTATTCACACGACTGGACGAGTTGTCATACCATGCCAAGATGTCATTTATTTGAGAAGCTATCCGAGTTGATGCTTCGCAAAAAATGAAAGTATCATCCACAAAAAGCAAATGGGATATCACAGGCGCACGACTTTTAATTCAAACTCCTTTAAACTCTCCCAATGATCAATACGACGAAACATGGATGAGAGGCCCTCGCTACTCCATTTATGATGACCGAGTAAGACATTATGCAAACACAACGCTAAACAATCGCAATCCAATATTCAGAGAACCTCAGTTTCCCATCACCGCCCAAAGATAACGGCATTTCACCCGATCATACGCCTTATATCTAACTTCGTAGCAAAATAAAATGTTTAACCCTCGCGCTTCTTCTGAAAAGAATGAAGAAATTTATGAGCAGTAATAATATTGTTCGTAATCAGTCTCTCCAGAACAAAATCACTTTGTGCCTCATCGATACATACGTAGAGATAAGTCTGTATCCGATGCACCACCATTTTAGATACAATCTTGAATATGACATTGCACAAACTGATTGAGCGGGATTGACTTAAGCAAACTAGATTATCCACTTTCGAGATAATAATTATGTGCGTGTGATTGACTGAACGTATGTCAAAATGCCTTTAGATAAGCCCAATACAAAACTCTGCCACTTTGGGACATATCACATGCCAGAACCACTGATAAAAAAGATCAGACATATCATCCTCGCTAGACGCCTTCAAAGGACACATATCCTATAAAACGCGAGCAACCTCTATGAAAGTGATTTCACATATCAGAGAGAAATTCTGTTGAACTATATTTTGATAAAATAAATTAAGACAATATTTTTGGAATTGAATTTAATTTATTCAAAATTTTCAAAAATAATTCAAAGTCCATTTAACTTGGAATTGAGCACAAAATGCTTTTCTGGACAAGAAGCACCAATATTGTTCTTACAGTATCAATATCTCATGAACAGTATTAATATTGTTCATATGATACCGATACCAAAAGTAAGGGAAGTATCGATAATCACTATATAGTATCATAGTATCGATACTACTAATATTGCTCAAATTCCAGAATGCAAAAATGGTACCGATACCCAAAGGGGTACTAATACTACTTTACATAGTAGTATCGATACTGTCAGGCCCAACGGCTAGTAACGACTAGTTTTATTTAAAAATAACAAAGGTAGTATCGATACTTCCTATAGGAGTACCGATACCTTTTGTACTGACAATTTTATTTTGCAGAGAAACATATCCCCAACGGCTAGAAACGACCACAAACTCATTTCAACATATAAATACAAGTTGAGGACACTTGAAGAGGGTTTAAAACACCTATCAAAGCAATCAAACACAAGAGAAGAGTTTTTCACTCTTTATTTCTATTCTCTTGTAAATATTGTGTTTTTGTGAGCTTTATTTTGTAAACAATCTACCTTTGTTTCTTTGTTTACCATCTCTTTCCTTTTGTAAAAGGAGTTTGGTTCTAGTTTAGACAATTGAAAAATTAGGTAGTTGTAAAGGTTACTATTGATCCTTGAAAAGAAATAATAAATTAGTGAATTTGTTAGAAAATCCTTAGTGAAGAGCTAAGGTAGTGGAGGTAGACTTAGTTGAGAAGTCGAACCACTATAAATCGGTGTGCAAAATTATCTATCTTTTCTTTCTCCTTACTCCCTAAACAATTTTTGTCAATTCACCCCTTGTATTTTTTTGGTTGTCCAAATTGAACTTCGAAAATCCCAACAAATTCATTTCATCCATCACACACGGAAGTGCTCCTCTAAAACCCTACTATTAATCGTTGGATCTGAGGAAGGAAATAGAAACGAAAAATATTCCATGGCTAACTACTCAAAACCCGTTTTATAGTTGAAGCGATGGCCCTCGTCAGATTCCAATGAATTAATTCTGTTCTAGCACTTTGTGACGCATATTGATGGAAATATGTTGTGTTATTATCACCATTTTTAAGCCTATTCGCGTGAGCCCTTTGTTTCAAGTACAATTCTTTCTTATCAGCTTTCAGGTTAATGAGTAGTTTTGTATCAACTATGTCCCTCAGAAGTCATTCATCTGGGTAAGCTCTAGTAACTGCGTCAGTCTCCTATTAAGTTCTTCTATCGTAATTTGTTTCACATGACAAACGTTCTTAAACTAGGCATCCAACGCAGGGCACACCATATTAGGTTTATCCGGAACCAATCCTTATGCTTGATTCTACAATCGAATCACTTCTTCCTCACAAGAGTCTTCAAATAGCCAAGACGCCTCAAATTTAAAGTGTCATCTTTTAATTGGTGTCCCCTTAAGCATAGTGTTCAAAAACATGTAGTGATACAAAAAAAAACATGTAGAAGATGTTGCATGGAAAATTTCGGGAATAATTGTCTCCATGCATCATTCACTAAACCTCGATCTAACTGTTCCCGAATGTTATTATCAACTTGGTTCCTCTGTTCCCATGTAAACCACAGACCCGAAAAACCCACATCTGATAACCCATAGGCTTCTATCACCTCTCGAAATATGCTCATCTACTCTCTCACTACAGACTAAGCCTCGTTCTTTTTCAACATAATCTTGTTAAAGTCACCGACCATCATCCATGGAATATTAGGACTATCATTTAATATATTTAGTAAGATGCATGAATCGACTCTACTCCTCTCATCTGTGAATCATAGAAGCCCGTACACCTCCAAGTAAAACCATCTGAATCATTTGTGATTAATACATCAATGTACGATTTAGAATACGAGCGTAGAGTCACATCATAATGTCCCTCTAAGCCATACATAGACCCCTCTTACCATGGGATCCACTTCTATACCTTTCATAAAACCACAAGAAGACCTAACCTTAACTATACGCGAACTCTGCAAGCTTGTTTCTATGATAAAAAGCTACAGATGGGTTTATGCCTCTCAGCATGTGCCAGAGACGACGAATCATCCGAGGCTTCCCCAATCCTCAGACATTTCAACTCAAGAGTTCCATTGCATCCGGATGGTCTAGGATGCCAGACATGTCGATATCTCAATATTTCCAGCATTGTTCTCAAAATTCGTCAATGGAGTTATCGGGACACTCTGTTGCCGTTTAACACTTTCAATCTTATGAAGAGAGTTCTCCTCATCAACCGATGTCATAACTATATACAGTTAAAACTCTATAAATTAATAATGTCAGGACTGGAGAAATTTATTAATTTAAAGAGTTATTAATTTATCGATAAATTAATAATTATTAATTTAAAGAGTTTTTAAGTAATTATACTGTACATACCAAACAAAAAGATAAATTAGTTTATACCTCTTAGAATTACGTTGTAAGAGATAAGTTAAATTAATAATGAGCTCCAAATAAACTTGAACTTTAAAGGAAAACAGACAACTATTGAATCATATTTCAATAGAGTGTAATATATTTTTTTCAGTTTCTATGAATTATTAATTTATGATTTTCTTGGGACCGAAAATTATAAAGGGATCTCACGAAAAATTATTATCTTATTATTTTATCGAGTTTTTAAATTTTTCATATTGATCTAAATCGAGACCGAACAAATTTATTATTTTAGAGAGTTTATTAATTTATCGAGTATTAATTTAAAGAGTTTCTGCTATACTTCCCAATCCCTTGTGACATCCTTAAAAGTCCTCTCACTCACTGTCTCATTTCACCGACTCTATCACAACCCACTTGTGGAACCCCTATGTTACCTCTTGTCCAAACAACTTTAACCTCACTTCTGGATATTTCTTCCAGTAGACAAGGGGCTAGACGTGGGCCCCCTTCTTTTAGACGGAATTCTGATAGACACATCCCACTGTAGGATCATATCCTTCTTCTCCTTGAGAACATGCAACAGACATAGCTGTTCACCATGACCTAACTTTCCACAAAAAATAGAAGAGACGAAGCTTCTCGTATTGGAAAGAGACATAAGCAAATGACCCATTTGCCAACGAAAGCTTCTTCTTCCTCCTCAAGGGCTTCTGAATGTCAACTTTAACCCTAATCCGAATAGAACCTTTATACCCCAGAGTAACAACAGAGGCATCATATTCAATAAAGGAACCAAGGAAATGTCCAAACTGTTGCGCTACTTGTTCCAAAATATATCCCACGATTAAGTCATTGACTATGATCCAAAAGTCTACCTTCTCCAACGCTACCAGCATCTGATTTTCTCCTACCTGCAAGCGATGCAAAATAAGTAAATGCGAATCTTCATATTCCAATCGATCCACATCGACCTCATGATATAGCCGGAACAAGAAACGATCATCTCCCAATTTAAAAATTGAGATTCCCCCAATAGGGTGCCAAACATTTGCCAAGGTAATTTGCATGGCCTGAAAATTAACCATCCCTGTTGTAAGGAACCTGCCTACAAAACAATGATCAAGCGTGATTGGAATTGATGGAACAGATGGTGTTAAAGTGAACGCCTCCTCCTCTTCCCCCTAGATTCAGGTTACCCAATTCGGTTTCGATCTCCTCCATCAGAATCCGGTGAACAAGGCGGGCCCAATACATGTGCCTGATGGGCGACGACCCAGGGCAGTATATAGGGTCAGGACATCAGTTTCTAATATTTAACAAGCATACAAGTATCATATCTTGACTGGATTTTAAACAAACGACAAACAATATGCCGCCCTAATAAATCAAGCAGTTTGCTACCATCTGCAAGAAATACCTAACAAACAATGCATCACATATAAACCACAAAAGATGTAGGTTACATTATAGAGCTCAATTAGTTTTTCTAGTCACTTGAACTTAAGACATCTAACCCTTTTCCGAAAAAAAAACATGCTACATGCTATGATATTATTAAAGTGGACGGTGTCGAAGTAGTGACAACGGCAGCAGAGGCGCCAGTACCTGTGAAGAGATGGAGGTCAAGAGAAAGGAAGGTTCCAGCTACTCCATTTTCTAGAGCATTTGGGTAAATTGCATGTATTTCTTTTAATGTTTTATCATTTATTGCTACTTCTAAATTATATGTTCCTTTTTTTGCTACTTTTCTAACTAGTTATTTGTTTAACATCAAAAGCTTTGCTACATTAGGAGCTGGTCTTGCTTGGGGAACAGTTTAGGAATCTGTCAAGAGGCTTGTTTATGGTTCTCTCAACTCAAATGAAAAGTAGTATGTTGTTTCACCATTTTTGTCTGAAAAAAATTATCATCCTTATTTTTAATTCTAGACGTGAGTTCAAGTTGAATTCACAGTAAAATGATTGGCTTTTGTGGAGAAAGAACAAAACATGTCATATCATATAATTCATTCTCATGTTTTGTCTATTATATGGTAGAGACATAAAATTATTATCTCGTCCAATATATTAAAATTCATTAGATCGACCTACCGATGAACCACAAATGAGAATCCTTAACACACTAACAAAAAAATTGAGAAAAACTGTACAACCAATAACGACAGAAAAAAAACTATAAAAAAGATAGACACCTAGCACTGAGAGCCTAAAATATAGGCCTATTATCATATTCATATAAATTATTTAAATTCAACCCGATGAATGATTATCAAATAAAATTTGGTTTTTTTAATTGAACTAAAATAGAAAGGGTCTCATTGATACCTTCGTTACATCTAAGGGTGTGTTTGATTCACGGAATATAAGATTATCAGTGGGAATAAAAGATTATTAGGGAATAGGATTACTGAAAATGTTGTATTTTATGTTTGGTTCGTTCAGCAGGAATGTAAGATTATCGTATTTAGTTAAAGGAATAAAAGATTATTAGAATATATATTTTACTAAATTATCCTTATTTTATATTTATTTTTTAACAAGTTGAATTATTCTATAATTTTACTATAATTAATTTATATATTTTCTTTAAAAATTTTAAATTTATATAATTTTTTTACAAAATTGAAAAGATAAATAGGTTTAATGAAAGAGTAAAATTTTATTTTAATCCCTGAACTTCATATAAAATTTTAATTATAGACTCTTTTTTGTAAATCTAAAATAGTTTAAAGATAAATTTATAATTTAACATTTGTAGAATTTTTTTATTCAACGACAGAAGAATGATAATTTTAAGAAAAAAAATTTAAGGACATTTTAGTCCAAAATGCCGGTAATCCAACAATACCTAAGGGAAATGGGTAATCACATTTCCGGTAATATATCTCAAAAAAATCCACTATTAAAATTAAAAGATTACCGAAAATAAGATTACCGGACAACCAAACTAAAAATAAAAATTTCAGTCCTCCGATAATCATGAATACCGTGAACCAAACAGCCCCTAAAAGACTAGTAAAAATCGTTAAAAGGAAATTTTAATAAGATAAAAATGGTCAAATAATACTAACAAGAAGCATAAAAAATTACCCTTTTTCCAATTTTACCCGAAGATCCTATAAATATATTCCAAACCTCTCTATATTTTACAGTCAGCTGCGTCGTACAGAAATTCTCTTTGAACGAACGAAGCAAACGATCAAGTACGCAGAGAATCGCCCGATCATGAGGTTTTTCCTCTCTCTCTCTCTCTCTGTCTCTCTCTAATTATTTCTTAATTTCCATTACGCACTTTCTCTAATTGTTGCTTAGAAGATGTAAGAAATGAAAGAAAACGAAATTGAACATCAACTTCCATTATCATTATTGTTTCTCTACCCTTGTTTTGGCCTTTCAGGGCTATCTTTTTTTTTTTTAAAAAAAAGGGTTTTCTTTCTGGTTTTTCTCTGGGTTCTGTTATTTTTATTTGCTTCAAGGGATTCATTTTTTTTCATTTTCTTTTTGGGAGGGTTGAAATGATGATTTGCGACGCTGTTCAAGGTTTCAAGTTTCACTTAAAAGACAAACTTTATGATGATAAGACAGCAATTTTGGAATCTTCAGTGTTTTGGAATAATTGAGTGTTGGATATGGTCTTTCTGCTGAACGGATGAGATATTTGTGCAGGATGGTCGCATGATTTATGTTAAGCGACGGATTTTTAAAATTTTAAGGGCAGAAATAAATTATCAATAGAAAACACAAATAAAATACCTAAATTATATGGAAATTTGAAGGGATTCGGTCCATCCCTGCTGCCGTGGTTACAAGGATACGACTTATGGCATTTGTGTTCACCTGTGCTGCTAACCTCTCCCGATTCCCTTGTATAAAAATTAGCTTACCCTATTCCCATATGTAATAGGGTAATGGGAGTAGAATAGTAGGCTGACACCAAGCCAGGTTGAGAGCAGCTTCCGTGGGAGACCTCCGATAGTCAGAATTATGAATTGTCCACCGTGAGACTCGATCCCAATACCACAAGGTTAAGAGACTTGCGCTCTTACCAACTGAGCCGGACGGTCAATTCTCCTAATTCCCTTATATGAGTGTCTTTATTTGATTGGCTTGTTTGCACCATCTGGGAGCAATAATGTTGAGGGTTGTGGACTATGATGCAAAATATGTCAGTTGTTTAAGATACCAAATCATGGGTTGATTTGTTTTATGTCCAAACAATGTTCTTAGAAAGATTGATAATTGATTAGAGTTTCTACATTTTCAACTTGTTTATAATTTCGTGTTGCAGCCGACATCCAACAGTGAAATGGGCACAGAGATCAGATGAAGTCTTCATAACTATTGAGCTTCCTGATGCTCAGGATGTGAAGCTTAGACTGGAGCCTGAAGGAAAATTCTTATTCTCTGCCACAAGTGGGGCAGACAAAATTCCCTATGAAGTCGACTTTGATCTGCATGACAAAGTCAACGTCGATGTATGTTGGCAGATGAAGTCTTGATTCTTAGAATCAACCTGTAATATATGCTCTACCTGTAGGGTTTAATGTGTGTCATTGTGATATGGTTTGCAGGGAAGCAAGGCTAGTGTTGGAAATAGACATATCACTTACCTTGTGAAAAAGGCTGAGAGCAAGTGGTGGAACAGATTGCTGAAACAGGAAGGGAAACCCCGTGTTTTTGAAAGTCGATTGGGATCGATGGGTTGATGAAGATGAGGAGGATCAGGACACTAAGCGTAAGAACAGTTATCTTCTTATATGTTTTCTTCCACTGCTTTATTTCTATGGTGAAGGGGTTCATTCCTTTTTTAGTTTGACTCACTGCCGGATTTTTGTTGGCAGCCGGACCTGATATGGACTTTGGTGACTTTGACTTCTCAGTGAGTGGCAGTGTTATCACCTAATATTTACGATTTAAGTGTCTAAATTGGATTTGACACCATTTGCTTCTATTTCCTTGTTACAGAAGATGAACATGGGTGGTGGTGAAGGCTTTGATATGGCTGAAGGGGAGGATGGTAAGTTTCATAATCCATCCAGTATCGATTAGTGTGTGAATTTGCTGTTGGATCTTGAGTAAGTTGCATGTTTAAAAAGAGATAATCTTTCAGTAGTAATTCAACGTAGCGTTGTCCTTGCAGATGATGACAGTGATACAGAAGATGAAGCTGTGGAAGAATTATCAGCTTCAAAGAAAGATGCCTCATCATCCAATGCTGCACCTGAAGTCAATAGCATTTAGAGCTGCATGCTCGGCTTGCAGTCGTATATCTTGTCAAGTCGAATGCATTAAGCAACATAACAATATTTTTTATGCTTTTATTTTTATTTTCGGTTGTGGGAGTGAGAGTGGTCATTGCCTCTATCGTATAAAGTTTAGTAGGAATATAATCTTGCATGTATTGCGGTCCAATATATATATGATCTTTTACATCATATGAAATATCTCGAGACAAGGCCGGGACCATCCTGGCCGGCAATTTGACCTTTCAAATACATACATCTCATACACAAAGCATACTCTGAGGTCACTCTAGTAAAGCAAGTATCACACAATTAACTTCTTATGGCATATAACCCAAATCAACTGCTAGGCAATCTCATCTGCACCACCTCATTAGGCGGTCGTAAAGTGCAAACCATCTCTCTCGTCTTTCCGAAGTAGACCTGCAAAAATATTTACACATTTCAACTCATGGTAAAAAACTCAACTCAAAATTATCGATGTCAGAGCTTGCAAAGAAAGTTAAGATAAAGTAGGTGTACCTGATCTAATGAGTTCCGGAGCTTACCCTCCATTTCTTCTATCATCTTTCCCATGTTAGAAAGATGACCATCAGCAACTGGTAGGTTCATGTTCATCTACGGACAAAAAAGATTTAAAGGTGAAAAAGGGGAGTTTAGACCTTGACTGTAACTTCAAACTTGAGTGCAGAAACAACAGGACGATACGCCACGGTCCATAACACATCAGTATCAAACAGTAAAATCTGAAATGGACACCATGTTTTAAGACTCAATCTGATATTTTATGGGCAAGTGAAAACATAAATTTAAGTCCGCTTATTACGGATGAGAAGAGGAACTTCATATTCTGCTTGCATCTTGTAGAGAAAAGTTATAGTCATATCAATTTAATGACCCAAACACACTGCATTGAGTGTGAATTAACAAACAACTTTTTATCCAAGTTTCTTGCTGTAGAGCTACGTTGAATTGTTGATCTGACTCCTCATTTTTTCTGATATACCCATTAAACAACTTGTGTCCAGCGCATAACGGTATTCAAAACTTACACCCAAGTCCAAGTAACATAGCTTCATTCTTGAGTTTTTCAGGTGTTGGGGAGCTAGTGATAAATTTTTTTTTCCTTACCCCACACATCTAGTCTGTGCACTCCAAGATACCAAGTGCAGGAGCTCATAAAAAAATCTGCATTAATAAGGCAAGTTAGCCTTTTTATCATAATTCCTTTCGGTTGTGCCATCTGTAAATGGTTTATGGAAGAAACACTTCTTCCTAAAATGGGTAAGGAAAGAAAACCCATGAAAACCTAGTACAGGATTTCAGATGATCAATACTAGTTATGAACCATTTTTTCTGATAGAGCTAAATTATCATCACTTGTGATGCCCAGGGTCACCAATTCAAGAGCACTTGGGTATCAAGAAATTCTAAAAAACTCTGTGGAGTATAGATGACTTTCAATGAACATAAAACTGCATTCTCCAACAGTTAACTCTTCATTATTAAAAAATCCCACCAATTACCTGTCTTCTGATAGATCCAGACAAACTGAAAGTGCCTGATGACACATCATCTGTAGTCAAAGACAGCATGACTGTACTAGTCAAGCAATATCGAGTCATTTCTTCTTCAGGTCCAACCTAAATAAAAGGTTAGAGTGCAACATGAGCAAGAAAATCCAAAACAAAGTAACACGCTGCCCATAGAGAAATAAATGGTAAAACATATAACAAAAAGAAAGAGGCCTGAGATAAGATTGAAAGTTCTATATCCCTAATTGTATAAAGCCATTGAAATTCACCTCTATAACATGAATAGCATCCCAAGTTCCCTCCTCCAAATAACCTCTTCGCCCTTGCCCAGTCTTTGAGCCATCTTTCTCCAAAAGCCAAGGACAGCAAATCAGAAGAACTAACAACGGTTACTGGTTTTATTTGGGATAAAAACAAGCTACTTACCTTTCTTTACCAAAAAGCAGGCTACAAAACATTCGTGGTCATCTTCCCACATGTAGACAGATGAAATGCCACCCTCATAATACCTATTGTATTATTGGTTAAACATAAATAAATCAATTAAAAAAAAGTAGATTCTGCATAAAAAACCAAGATGGAGCGATGCCTTAAGACCCCATATCCAACCACAATAAAAAGAGAAGCATAAAGCTGAATAGAGGTCAACTGTAATCAAACCCACACAAATAGCAAATTAATAAACAAAGTACGACATAAGCAAGAACCTCACTGGTCACAATAGACTGTAAAGATATCGTTAGCTTCAATTTCCAATTGCCTCAACTTTGAAGATGGATAAGGCGCATCCTCCAAGGGTGGGTGATATTTGTTTGACCAAGGTGATCTACAAACAGTACAATTGCACGGAACAAAACCACAAATTACAAGTTAGTCAAAGATGAATTATAATTGAAATTTGCTACTTTGCAAGTAAAAAGGAACTCAAAATAACTCAAAGATTGCCTTAAAGCGTCATATGAGACATGAAACTGAAGGGATATTATTTGATGTAAGATTGATTTACTGTTGACAAGGTTCACTAACAGCTCAAATGTGGAATACTGACAAAAAGAATTCAAGTTCTGATGTTAGTGTTTGTGCTTAGGTTTGAGCAAATAATATATGCAAATGTATTTCATAGAGATAATGAACATGTAAATACACACATATAGACAAGAGAGATACCACCATGGCATAATTATAAAATTTCATAATGTTTATTTAACATTATGATGATATGTAGAGTTTTCTGGATTATATATTCAAGCTTTTTCCACCATAAAAACTAAATAACTGTTTTACTATAAACATTTTGGAGGAAGATATCCCAGGAATGGTCAGCATCTACTAACGTGTACAATGCTATGGATTAGTTGTGCAAGTTTCTATAAACATTTAGGGAGAAACCCAGAATAGGTGGTTATGTATAGTCCATCACCAATTTTGAATCTACAAAGTAAGAGTATAGAAAATAAAACCTCAGGAAGATTGTTAACATAACCATTATTATTTAGGCAAGATAAATGAGAAGGGGGCTTACTTTTCATTATTTTAAATCAGAACAAAAATACAAACAGGCAAGAACATAGAAACAGTTTAATAGGGCTTAGGCTACAATAGGGGAGGGAAAATTAAGTCCAGGGTATATAATCTATAAGCCAATATACTAATCAGAAGTGTAAAGCTACCTGTAAGAATCAGCGTCTCTGTTGTATTCACACAAAATGAACTTCTTTCCACTGTCCACATCAGGCAAAACCTGTTTTACAGGAAAATATGAAAATCTAATAAACTAATTCATCCAAATCAAGGGAACAAAACTCAATTGTTGTCATATGTTTTGATATCACATGAAAGGTTCACCTGTAACAAAACTTATAGGTCAGTGAATAAGATTGCATGTAACAAGTTGGCATGAGGATACCCAACACCACAAAATCAAATACCAGCAAAGGGAAATTGAAAAATTCTAGTAAAGGGTTGATTATATATGGTACAAAACTAAGACAACAACAATCTAAGTTTTTTCATTTGAGAACAGTGCAAAAAAGAAAGCTCATAGCTCCATACACAAAAATTGAAGTGAACTTAGGAATCTATAAAATGATGAATAATAATTCAAAGGCATGTAAATTTTTTTTCTCTGACATTCATAAATCGAGACCATAATAATGTGCTTATAATATGCAAACATCAAGCAGAAGCATCTCTTGGGGAACAATTTAAGTTCATGCAATCAATGAGAAAAATGAGAAAGAAGACAACACTCAATCCAGAATCCAAATTTTGCATGTGATCGAGGTCAAAAAGAAATAAAACCCCAATTCAATTGTATCCTGATCCGTTTATTTAATAAAGTTGCGCAGTTCCACAGCAAAATGGTGAAATGCGTTCAAAGCGACTGCTACGAATTCAAACTAGCATAGAGTGAAGAATGCATATACAACATTCAAAAATTTCTTTTCAAACACACAAAATTTTAGAACTTGTAAAAAATAAATATATGTTCGCTCCATTTCCACTTTAAAACACGAACTAACTAAACTTAAATGAAACACATTATAAAGTACGCACTCGGATCATTAAAATTTTATTTTCTAAAAAAATGGCACTGCGTTTATTTTTTAATGCAGATTTTGATCTTTCATTTTGTTTCCAACGCCAAATGAAAAAAAAAGCAACACCAGATACATTTTGGCTGAAAATCTTATACTTCAGTATCGATCTTACATAGTACATTTTCCGTGATGATTTCAACCCAGCTTTCTCTCTATAAAAATTAAAAAGAACCCTAAAACAATTGTTATTTTAAAATTTACTTCATTTTCTAGCCAAACAAATTATCAAATACATTATTGTCATTTTCAAAATAAAAACAAAACCTAAGAAATAATCAATTCGGGCAAGATTAAAGAGTGAAATCTACAGAAATGAAGAAACAAGGAGAAACTAAAATTGGAAAGAGAAAGGGAGAGACCTGGAGAGGGAGATCGACTTGAGAGAGGAGATCGGAGGAGTGGCGAGGCAAAAGGCTTAAAAGAGCGGAGAGTGTCGTCTCGGAATGGCGAGGCGGCATTCTTCGCATCAGTCCCATGGCTGCCTCCATTTTCTTTTCTTTTTCCTTCCAATTTTCCCCCTCCCGACTCAACTTATTGTCGTACAATCAAACAGGGAAACGAAATGGAAGCAGATAATGTTCTTTATTTGGATTCAATTCAAAGCGAAAGGAACAGAGATATTAGCAGCAATTTGAATTTGACAATTGGGGGAAATTTTATAAAGAAAAAGAAAAGGAAAGGTGTGGCTTATTTGATTTGATCCGAGTCTCTCTCACGGTAAGGATAGGATACCCACCTCTGTTTATTACACCAACAAATATAAATATATAATAATTTAATTTGAGTGTTCTTGGATATGATTAAATATATGACCAGAAATATTATCTATATATATCGTTTTTAAAATATTTTAATTAATTAATAGAAATTTGGTCCAAATCTTTGTAAATGCATACGCGAAAAAAATATAAAAAAATGCGTTGAAAAAACAGATAATACAAAATTAAGTGTTGATTATTTTAACTGAATTTAAATTATAAATATGTTTGATATTAGATTATTTGATTGATGTGGTAATATAGTTAAAAGAAATAAAAAAATATTCAAATATTTAAAATGAGATTCAAATAATTATTCTCTTTTAGTTGAAATATGATTTTTTTTCTGTGTGCAATATATTTTATTCAAATATTAAAAAAAATAAAAATATCATTCTAACATTTTTTTTATCCTATACATACTAAATTAGCATCATTTCTTAAATCGAGATAAGGAGTGAGTTTCATAAAACGAGTCTTGACTACGTGGTTGGAAGACTCGTTTTACAGAGAGAATTTTTCCCAAATTTGAATGTGACAATACAACAGGGAGACACGACCTATGTAAAAAAATCTTTCCCTAAAAGTTTGTTTCCTAAGATGAACATTCCGATTTTAAATTGCCAATTTGATATATCTTTTTATCAAATACATTAAAAATGTGCCTTTTAACACGAGATCAATTACCAATAAAATATTTAACTGAATGAAATTATCTTTGTTTAAATATAAACATAATATTTTATATATAAAAAATAAAAAAGAATCTTAAATAATTTTTAATTTAATATTTAGACGAGTAATATTTAATTTGTCATGTGGGTATTTAAAATTTTTGACCATTTTATAATTATTTATTATTATTTATCTATTTTACATGTCTTATAAAGTAATAATGTTTTAGGTTGCCTCCAACCCTAATAGTCTTTGGATTTTAAAATTTTAGTTTTATTTTAAAAAAAATTTAAAGACCAATTGACAACATTATCGATTGATTTTCACTAAATTTCAATTTACGTTATCATATGAATTTTAATTTTTAAATTTAGTGAACTATCGTTAAATTTAATTGAACTTAATTAAAAAATTAAAAATTAAGATAAAGACAGATACATAATTTTATGTTACGATGCGAACTTATAAAATTTTAAGAGATAAAACAAATTATCAATAGAAAATAATATATATATATATATATATTATATATATGCATATATGAATTATTGTAAGTATAATAAAAAAATTTCCTGTGCAATTTAAAATGGAAGGCTCAACCTGGGAAACGAGCTTTCAGGAAAGACTCTCCCTATAAGACGTGCCTCTCTCCTTTACTGCCACATCAGTTAAACCTGGGGAAAACTCTCCCTGTGAAACGAACCTTCCAATCACATAAACAATGCTCGTTTTTGTGAAACACGTCTCCTTGCATCGATTTAAGAAAAGGGTGTTAGTTTAGTACATATTGGGAAAAGGCGCTACAATGGTTTTTTTTTTAAAAATGGGTGATATTAAGATAAAATTGTCCAAGATCTATTTTATTATGTAAAATTAATAAACTTTACACTAATTTATAGTAACTAAATTTAAATAAATAAATTACTTAGATTTAATTAAAATTTATAATTTATAAATAAATATATTTTAACTCACAATAAGATAATATCTATTTTTACATCAATCTCAAATCCAAAATCCTAAACCTAAAATTCCAACCCTAAAATCTCTACTCTAAATCTTAAAACCTAAATTATAGGTTATAGACACTAAACACTAAATCTTAACCCCTAAATTCTAAATTCTAACCCTACAAATTAAAAATATATATTTTACTTTGATTTACAAATATTTATTTATGGGTTATAAATTTTAATTAAATATAATTTATTTATTTAAATCTAATGAATATAAATTAATGTAAAACTTACAAGTTTACGGTATAAATATAAGTGAATCTCAATTATATATATATATATATGTATATATATATATATATATATTTGTATTGACCTTTAAATTACAATATGATTGAATTTAATCCTTAAAAGATTATTGATTTTTATACTTAAACAAAAATATTGTATATTTAAACATATTTCCCCATATAGATTTTTATACATTATATAAATAATAATTCCAATGGAAGGAAACTTAACCTAATTTAAATATCATTATTTACTGGGTTTGTAATAGAACTCAATTACTAGGAGAAATTTGATAGCAGAAATTACTACGAGGAAAACTACCTTTTACCTTATTCCAAAGTACAATAAATTGCAATTGCCGGTAATTGTCCGCCGTGCTTTTGAGTCAAAGAGATGGGGACAGAAACAGAAACCTCTAAAGACACCGGAGAAATCGAGCCACTGTTACAGGACTCAACTGATGAGCCTGAATCCGACCCTAAGCCCAACCCTAATCCGAGAACCGTGAAAACGAAAGTACCCGAAGTAGAGATCCGTTTGTACCGACAAGGCAAGGGTCCGATCGACGTGTTCAAGTCGAGCTTGGGAGGGTGGGACCAGAACCAGCTGGAGGTTCGAGATATACTTGAGAAATACGGGTTGAAATCGATTTACGCTTTCAGTACCCAGTCGGGTCGCGGCGTCCCAATCCGATTTCATCCGAGAAACGGAAGGTCTATACTTGGATACAAGGACGGATCGGTGGTTCACATTGACGGCGAACCAAAGGTAATTTCAAGTTTCCCTCTGTTTTAATGGTTTTAGGTTATATGCGTGTTTTCTTATGTCATGTATATTGTTGATCAGAATTTTTATCTCCAGTTGAACCAAACAGTTACATCGAGTATAAATTAGTACATATTTCTGAACAATTAAGGAACAAAATTTTATTTATTTTTAAGTAGCAGAATCTTATTTTTCACATGAAACAATTTGCTTATTTATAACCTAATTTATATATATAAGATATCCGAGGAGAATGCTCAATTAGGATCATAAACCATTTCAAATCAGACCAAGCCTCAACCAAATAAAATTTATCTTCTTATTATTACAATTGATATAGATATAATTATACTTAAATGTATAACTATAATTATTAACCGAGTCTGTGTTGGATGCTTAGAAGTAATTGCTTTCAGATCCATGGATCAAACTGTGGGAGATGAGGCTTAAAAATTCAGTAATCTAAAGATCAGCAAAATCCTTATAACATGGATTAAAACCTATCTGATTGGTGGATTAATGGGATTTTAGACTTGTCTTCAAATATGATGTTGAAATGAATCAAGGGTTTGACTACATACCTTATCTTAAAGGTTTAATCGAGTTCAAACAGTAAGAAGTTTGAGCTTGAGCTAGATTTGAAATTGGAAGCTCAAAGTTCAACATGAGCTTGAAATTGATTGACTTTTATTTTTACAACTCGAACTTTGAGATAATGATCTTACTGTTTGAAACTTGATTAGGTTTGTTTACCTAGTAAAAATTGAGTTCGATTATTTGTTCTTGAGCTCAAGGTAGAATAAAAAAAAATATTCAATACTAACTAGAAATGAACAAAAAAAATACTTGAATTGAATTCACTCAAAGCTTTAGCTTCACTCGACAATAGCTGAGCCAAATTAGATTTTTCTTTTTTCTTTTTGGAATAAAACCCAAGTAGGTTGCAAGTACACATGTCTCACTGATACCTATGCTTAAACCTATGTTATACATTGACTCAAGTTCTGGTATCAGATACTGTTATGTGTCCAATTGTCTTTTGTTTATAAGGGAATGAATATTTGGAACAAAATACTTACCTTCTTCGAATAGATTTTCCCCTACCCACCTACACTCAATCAAATAAATAAATTATGTGTCATTTCCTTTGAGTTTGCTCCCCCGGACTGTATAAACTTTCCCATGCACATTTTATACAGCCACTGGTCCATGTTGCTGAGTCCAACTAGCTTTCAGTTTCTCGAATGTTCGAATATTTTAATACATGTAATATAGTTTCCTGCATCCCTGTGTATGCTTTCAGTGGATGAGTAAATGACTGAGCTTATGGGCAACTCATGGCCACGGACCATGGACTGCTTCAAATGCTGTATTCATCTTGGCTGATGACTGTAAACTATTCAACTGTTGGTTGCTGCTGCATAAATAAGTTGACGTGTTTTCTGTTTTGTTTTATTATCGATTTCAGGATTCATTGATCAAACCTATAACCAAAATATTGGTGGGAATAGCAGCTCTTACACTTCTCATAACTTTACTAGTGAAGGATACTCCCAAATGGATGAAGAAATTCAACATTTCGGTAGGAGATTTCCCTCCTTGGGTCCTCGCTTGCGTTGTTATCGTTTTCACACGTATGAGAAAGAGGACGAAGGAAGCCTTGAAGAAGTTTGGTTGGTGAATGGAGGCACTCGTGAAGCCATTTTGTAAGCCCAATAAGATACTGAAGATTGTAAAATCTTGTGCTTTTCTAAGTTGTTTTGCCTAGAAAATATGTTGGTCCTTGTGGAACACTAGTAAAATAATAGTGGAAATCAAACTCATTTGTAGTAAAGGGGAGACGGTCACTTTATTACAGTGACATCCATGATGACATCTCTCTTTTCTTACCGAGTGTTTTTAAATATAGTGTACCGCCATCAATGTGCTGAATGAAGGAAAGAAATTTGTTAAAAGTAGCATTAGACAATCGTTGTTTTGGGAATTTTTTTATAAGAATCTTCTCTGACATTGAAAAGTATTTGAATGTATGCAAGAAAGTCTTTACATGAGGATTCCATTGGACCCCAATTTTGATGAAATACAAGATGCTCATTTAATGATGAGAGACTTAATTACGACTTTGAATGTTTGTGTCAAGTTGTCATCAATTAACAGTTGGATTTGGACGGAAACAGAACAGGACTGGAGTCAAATAATTCAACCATACCCTACTTGTCAATCTTTATCATCTCGAGTTTTGTTTAGCTTTATGTTAATTAATTTTGACAATATTTTAGATAATTTATTAAACACAAAAAGTTCAATTTTATGCTTGGTTGGACTATTTAAAGAAAAAAAGACAGGGATACAACTTGCAATGATTTTAGTCTCTCTTAACCGATCATAAACTGCGTCTTCCAATTCATCACTAAATTAATGATTGAAAAGGCTTTTAATAGTCTATCTTCCTAGTGGCAGATTAGAACTTATAATTAGTTTATAATTATAGAACATATATCAGTATATTGTGATTAACCAACATTTAAGACTGAAATACTTGTTTGATCATTTATATTAGTATATAATTATAGAACTTATATTGTGATTAGACAAGGTCGAAGCGGAGATGGTCTTGTTCATGAACTATTAACATCAGACGCCAAAACTTTTGATGAATCAATCCATCTCGACAGATGTTCAACGTAAGTTTAACAAAATTGCTGATTTACTAACGCTTCTAAATCAGTAGGATAAGCCATTTGATTCGTCCCTAAAGAGTGTGGAACGATTGCTTGAGTGAAAAATTGCACACATAAAACTATTTTAGTTGTCTTGTATGAGCAAAAAAAATATGTGCTCCAAGTTTATGTGATCTTCTAGTTATTTGAAATTTAATTTTTCTACTTTCATTTATTGAAATTTAATTTACGTACTTTTCAATTTAAAAATTTATTTTCAATTTTTAATACTATTAAATTTGTTTTTCTAAAAGAAGTTTTATATAATTAAAGATCGGAACATACAAAACAAGTCAAACAATGAGGACCTCGTTAAAAAGTTTATGTTAAAATCAATAATAATATATTTTAAAATTAAAAGTACTAATTTAACAAGAAAAAATAATATTGCAGTAGATCTAAACAGGGACGAATGTATGAATTTATGTCGGGGATAAGCTTCTACAATTTTAGAAAGTGCCATACTTATAAAATTTCAGAGGGTCGAAAACAAATTTTTAATAAAAAATATATATATATTTTAAAAATATATGATATTTTTAAATTTTTAGAGGACCACTACCCTCACTTACCTCTATCTAGATCTAAATTTAATAAATAAAAAACTATATTAACAATTTACATTGAATTTAAATAGATAGTATTGGCATGGATGAGCTTCATACTCTAAAATTAGATAGTATTGTTCGTTTTTTGGGGTTGATCTATAAAAAAAAGTAAATTTTATAAAATAATAATCTAAATAATTTATTCAATTTGAGCTCTATTAAATTTAAATATATTAAAAAGTTAACTTGAAATAAGATTGAACCCCTATTAAAAAAAATAAGAATCAACCAAATTAAGTTAAAACTTTTTCACTTGATTTAATCGAATAATCACATATAACTATATATTATATTTTCTATATTTTTCATTTTCCTTCATACTTTTATTTTTCTCCTTTTGCCCTTCTCTTTCTCTACTTTTTTTCTATCAAAGTTAAACAAACTGAATATCTATATCTACATTGATATTGTTTTTACTACAATATTCTTCCATTTAAATAATTTAGGTATTATATAAAAAACCTATGTGTGTATGAAATAATCATGTACATATTGTCGATCCTTTTCTAGTTTTCTTATACTTCTTAACCGATGACGACGTTAGTAACCTTGGCTATTCGCCCACCGCTGACTTTTCTTTTTCTCCCCCACTTCATATAATTTGAGTTATATTATATTTTATTTAACTAATTTCTGTCTTTTCGTATGAAACTATGGATGGTTCTGTATACTTTTGTAGTGTGTCCTTTGTTCGTTCTTATAGCGCATTTTCTTCTTCTTTTTCTTAGAATTAAACTTAACTTCACATCTGTTTTGGATCCTCGAACTAAAATTTAATGGATGTTTAAAATCATCGAAAGTAAAATATGGTTGAGTTGTGATAAATTGGTAATGTCTATTTGTCAATGAATCGTTATTGTTATATGTATTTTTATGTTAGTGTTGATGAGAGGGACATAGTCAAAATCAAATATTGAGAGGGAAAATATACTTAATTTAAAAATAATAAGGACTTATTATGTATTTAATCTAAAAATGAGGGGGCAAAAATTCGATTTTACTTGTATTTAAATCTATAAGGATCTAAAATACAACCAAAAAATTTAAGCCCCACCCACTCCCTGGTTGATGATGTTATCTTTCACCGCTAATACAATTAAACCACTATGATGGTTTTAGGAAGAATGTTTGGTTTCTATAATTAGTTTATTCTTGTTTTTTACTCTTACTGTACTGTAAATCTAAATATATATATATGGGATGATCTTCTTCATTTAACTTGTTCCATTTACATCGCTAAATTTTAAACCTTAAAAACGCATGATCCCATGGAGCAGAATCATACAATATTATTTAAGAATGATCAGATAGATATAGAGAGTAATGAATATTGAAAAAGGTGCAGTAGTAGGAATAATAGTAGTCATATATAGCTTAGGGTTGATGAAACTGTATCTGTAAAGAGCAGAATCGAGATTGAAGGCATCAATTATAGAGAGGGGAAATGTGAGGGGTTTCATGGTTATGCCTCCCCTTGTATGTCGTTATCACAAAGCGCCCATCTTCCCTGTCCCTTTCCACCCTTTTCTTCACCTTGCATCCTGCCCCTGAGCACCGGTAATAATGCCTGCACTTCATCACATACATACATATGCATGAATATGATCTTTCTAGGAAGCATAAACATATGATGATGATGATGATGATTGAAGCTATATCATCAATTCATTCACTGAAACAACACATGAATGCTGTAACTTGAAGCTTTTGAAACATTTTACATGAAGGCAGCCCAGATTACCTTGGATTAGGGTTATCCTTGATCACTTTCTTCCCATATTTTCTCCATTTGTACCCATCATCCATCACCTCAACTCCAGATTTGGTTCTGAAAGCAATTTTAACCTCCCCCTCCGTTGTCGTCGCATAACCCTCGTTTCTACAAAATTAAAAACCACAATCACTAAACAAATAACCAAGAATTACATAAACAAACCTACAAAAAAAAAACATAAATATAGAAAGGAAAAGAAGTCGGTTTACGTTTGCAAAGTATAATCAACAGACGCGCTGCCGCCAGGATTGACCGGAGAAAGAGAAGTGGAGGCAGTTTCCGGCTGGGGTAGAAGAAAGAAATGTTCAAAGTCTAGTGGATCACTGTTAAGCTCCATGATGTGAGTGCAAATAGGGTTTGGGTTTGATGATGGTGTGAGGAAGGTGGCGGTGAGGTTGGAGTCTGACATGGTGGAGTATTAGAGGGTGTGAGTTGAAAATCAAATGACTTCGGAAATTTTGCCGGTAGAGTGTCGAGGCTCTATCGATACTATATATATTGTAAAACGAAATGTGCATAATTTTTGTTTCAAGGGGTTTCATGTGAATTTCCTCGTGGAATCTAAAACTCACACAGGGAAAACAAGTGGAAAATTATCCCTTTGATTGACTTGGACGATTCCCAAGCATATTGCAATTTATAATTCTAAATTTTATTTCATTTTTATGCTTTATTCTTACAAATCAGTATTTCCGCAATCCCGTTGTGTTTTCTTTTTCACAATAAAAATAAAAATCCGACATTGCCCCATTAACAAGGTAAAGAACTACCATTCGTCACTCCTTGATAACCTCACGTGACAAAACCAATTAAAATCTATCTATAAAAATAAATGAAAGATGGTGTACGAACTGAGCGACCTCACAGTAATAAATGAATTGTTATTATTCTTGAGATTCTAAGTTCGAATACAGGAATGACATAGGTACGGGCATTCAATGTCAAATAGTTAAGGGTGCGTTTGGTTCACGGAATGTAAGATTACCAGTGGGAATAAAAGATTACCAGGGAATAAGATTACTGGGAATGTTGTATTTTGTGTTTGGTTAGTTTAGCAGGAATGTAAGATTACGGTGTTTGGTTAAAGGAATAAAAGATTATTGGAATGTATATTTGACCAAATTGTCCTTATTATATATTTGTATAATATTACAAATTGTAAAATATTTATATATTTTCTTTAAAAAAATTAAATTCATAATATTTATATAATTTTTTTACAAAATTAAAAATATAAAAAAGGTTTAACGAAAGGTAAAGATTTTTTTAACCCCTGAACTTCATATAAAATTTTAATTATAGATTTTTTTTTGTAAATCTAAAATAATTTAAGGATAAATTTGTAATTTAACCTTCATAGAATTTTTACTATTGAATGACAGAAGAATGATATTTTTGAAAAAAAATAAAAATTTAAGGGCATTTTAGTCCAAAACGCCGATAATGTTACAATACCTAAGAGAATGGAGGTAATGACATTTCCGGTAATATACCCAAAAAAATCTAATATTGGTAATAAAATATTATCGGGAATGAGATTCCCGGCCAACTAAACATGGGAATGTGGGATTCCCATCCCATGAGAATCCTACAATCCTTGAACCAAACACCCCTAAGAATCATCTTTAAATAGATATTGTATTGTACTTATCCTAAATTGATCATATATATATATATATATATATATATATATATATATATATATAACTTAGGGAAAGTATACAGGAATAGGATCCTACCCCCCCCCACACACACACATATATATATATATATATATAAATTTATAA